GTTCCGCAACATCAAGAACATTGATATGGACATTCTCACTACCAGTTTGGACAATGTTCAGATTCTGGACTTCTATTCTACTCCTGATGATTTGTTGTTATATTATAATAATTGTCTACGCACTGTTCTTGATTGTCTGGCTCCTGTAAAAACCCACTCTGTTTCCTTTGCTCGCTCTGCTCCCTGGTTTACCTCTGATCTCTAGAGCGTAGACATAAGAAATCTGGTTTAACTGTTGATTCAAAAATCTATAAATACCATGTACTTCAGTATAAAGACTCCATCAGCAAGGCTAAACAAAGCTTCTACTCTGGTATTATCAGTTCTTACGAGAGTAATGCAAGGACTCTGTTTTCAGTTCTCAACAAACTAATTCAACCCCCCAACGCTTTACCACCACACTTCTATTCCTCTGAAACCTGCAACTCCTTGATGCTGTTCTGGACTACGAAAATCAATAACATCCACCAGCAACTCAGATCAAATGTTGTGTCTATACCCTCTCCAGAACCTTTTCCAGAACGCAAATTTGATCATCAGTTTCACTGTTTTGCTGATGACACCCAGTTATATCTCTCTTGCAGACCTGATTCTTCCCTCCCACCTTCCTCCCTTTCAGAATGTCTTTCCGAGTTAAAATCCTGGTTTACCTCTAATTTTCTAACGCTCAATGAGGATAAAACTGATATCCTCCTTATTGGCACCAATTCCAACCTTTTGAAGGCGAACCATTTCTCACTCACCATCGATAACTCCACAGTTTTCCCTTCTCCTCAGGTTAAGAGCCTTGGTGTCATCCTAGACAGTTCACTTTCCTATAAATCTGACATCAATAATCTCACCCGTTCTGCCTACTTCCATCTACGCAACATTAACAGATTGCTTTCTTCTCTTTCCACCCAGTCTACGTCCATTCTTGTCCACAGTCTTGTTACCTCCCGTATTGACTACTGCAATTCTACTGCAATTCTCTTCTGCATGGTCTCCCCCAAAAATCCCTCCATAAGCTTCAACTGGTTCAGAACTCTGCTGCTCGCATTATCACCAGAACCCCCTCCTACCAGCACATCACCCCGTTCTTCAGGAACTTCATTGGCTCCCTGTGAAATTCCAGATAATATTCAAACTTCTTCTGCTCACCTTCAAGGCCATTCATAACCTCACTCCTCCTTACGTTTCTGACCTGTTAACCACTACCTGTTCTGCCCGTTCACTTCGATCTTCTTCTATCCAGCTTGCTGTACCTTCCTTCCGCCTCCCCACCATGGGAAGCAGGGCTTTCAGCTGCTCTGCTCCCAGGCTGTGGAACTCTCTGCCCCCAGAAATAAGAAACATTGGTTCTCTCCCCCAGTTTAAATCCCAACTCAAAACTCATCTGTTCAAATCTGCATATTCATTGTGAATCCACTGTTTGTTAATTTTATCTTGTGCTTTTGTTTTATTTTTCTTATTTTGCCATTGTTTTACTATGTGTTTTATCCTATTGTAAAGTGTCCTTGGGTGACTTGAAAGGCACTCATAAATAAATTATTATTATTATTATTATTATTATTATTATTATTATTATTATTATTATATTTTTTTTGCATTTTACCTTTTTGACAAAATAATGCTGCGTAAAATAATTTCTAATCCATCAGTTTAATCAATTAATTTACCTGTTCTTTGCATGGAACTTTTCCCAATGTCCAGATACCACTTTAACCTGTGTGGACAAATCTTAGTGAAGTAGTCTTTTTCGTCATTTCTATCACTTATGAGATTCTCTGTGAATATGACAGCCTCTGGTTTCAGTGGAATCCATGTTAGTCTCTGAAAATCAAATTCAAGAAAGCCTTCTCCATCATATCCATACTGAAGTACACCATTCACTTCTCCAGTGTTTTCATTCCATTCACAGCCTTCTATCTTCTGTACAATGTGAACTCCTGAAAAGAGAAAGAGAAAACAGATATTGCAATGAACCGGGTTGATATTATTGTGCATACATTGGTATTCTCCGAGATCTGTGTTATGCTTATGCATCAAGTCAGTTCATATTTAACATTTTCTTACACCTGATTGATTAATACTACAAGAAAAAAGGTTTAAAAAGGCAAGAGACAGAAAGTGATTCATTTGAGGGTTATAAACTCTAAGAAGAAGAAAAAGTGCTTGTTCTAACTCAAGATTAAAATTTAAAACTGTAAATGTGTTGTTTAATCAGCTTTTTAAATGGATGTTCACATTAACAATGTTTGAGAATACCAGATCTCACTGAAGAAACTGAAAATTAAGACTTTAGTTGTAAATGAATCAGTTGTCTTCAGATATACAGTATCCTATGGTTTGCAATGATCTAAAATAAGATAAGGAAATACTGTACCTCCAGTTTGGTTGGACTGCCGCTTCAGTATAGAAATAAATTCTGTGAAGAAGTCTGGTAGATTGTAAAAACAGTAATAAGTGTACATTCTCAAGTGCCCGTGGTAATTATCTAACGCTTGTTTCACCCAGTCCTGTCTTGGCTGTATTGTTTGGTTGTTGATGTCACAGTAACCAACCTCAACACCATCAACCTCTGCAAAAGCCGCCAAGTCTGGGATGTTTGGAATCCCAGATGATCCAGTGATGAAATACATCAGTGAGTGTTTGTCTGTGGGCAAACAATGTTTATAATGTTAGTAAATAAGGAAATACAAACATATCATAAACATATCAGAAATGATCACAAATAACCAACCAAGTACAACAGTTACACATATTTTGGACAAGATTATTTGAATCCATAATAAACATTCACGTAATGACTAGTAGAAGAGAAAATGCAATA